CCCCCCCCCCCCCCCCTCTAACCAGCTTTTTTTTTTCACAAAAAGCGTCCCTATCGGGCCACTTTTCTTCAAAAATAAACTATTAAAAATAGCTACACTGAAAATAGATTGGACCCGAAGAGTTCGCAAGTTAATACATAGTAAATCAACGACAAATAGCCTATTGCAGAACCCTGCGCTCACCTCTACAAGCTATGCGAGGGAAAAAGGAAAGTGAAAGAAGAGCCAGAGGGAAAGAGAAATACACACACCCCAGAGCCACTACCGTAGCGACAAACAAACAAAAAAAAACATGTCAACACAAAGCGGGTCACCGGATACTACAACAACCGCACGTCATCGCTCGTGGTGGGTTGGTGCACTGGTGGGAGTCACAGGGGGGGACTAGTCCATCAAGCGGTTCAATCCTGCACAACCTGTTGCGCCACTTGGTCCGCCTCTTTTGCTTTCTTCCCTCCCCATCTCGTCCGCCTGCTGCCCCCGTTCCGCCCCATTGGTTGTTGCCGTGTCAGCGCTGTTGCCGGGCTTGTTGTTTCGTTTGAGCGTTGCCGGCTAGCCTCCTCTTCGTCAGTGTGTCAGGAGGTCATGAACCTCTCAGCTCCCTGCAGTTCCCACGTATGCCACGGTACACCCCGCTCCACATTTGCTGCTTCCGTCCAAGTTGTTTGCGGGATTCCGAAGACACATGGCTCGGCGTTCGTAGATCCGTGCTATGCCCCGAACATCTTGAGGTCGTCCTTTAGGCGCATCTGCCAGTTTTGCTCCGGTTTCCCCCTGCCTGCCCCTCCCCCACCCTCAGCAGCTCGCCAAGCGTCAGGCGTTTTGGGATTCGCCGGTCTGGCTGCCTTGCCAATGCTCCCGCCAATAGCAGGCGGCTTCCACGCTCTGGCACCCTACCCTCTTAAGGGTCTGGGCGTAGGAAAGCTGCCGGTAGGTGCCCTTCTAGCGTTGTCAACCGACAACACGCGCGGGAGCAGCTGGTGAGGTTTCGACCGCAACAGCCGGTAGTGTTCCGACGTGGGGCCCCATGTCATGCAACCGTACAGCAGTGCCTCCATCGCTTCCGCCTGGAGCATGAACTCTCGGCCTGTCGAAGAACTCCCGGCCATTTCTCCTGGCGCACGCACACGCTGTTCTGCTCGGTAATTCATCTCCTGGGTGAGGTTGCCATGTTGGTTGACGAGGCCACCTAGGTACCGGAACTTAGCCGTCTGGGCGTACCTCTGCCCCGTTGCCTCGATGATCAGCAGTGGTGACGGGGGCAGCGGTGGTGTTGGCTGCTTCTCCTTGAAGCGCATCAGGAGCGTCTCCGTCTTGTTCTCCAATACCGTAGGCCCGAACTCTCCGAACACCTCCACAATGACGGCCATCATTCTCGCCAGTCCGCCGGCATACCCCGATACAACGCTGTCGTCATCGGCATTCAGCATCCCCCATATCGCCCTCCGCACTTGGTCAAGCGGTGTGCCCGCCCCCCATCCTGTCTCCTCCGCCAGGTACACCAGGTTCTGCAGGACAACATCAGCCTCGCTGAATCGAATGACAAAAGACCAACGACCTCGCGGACCGCGGCGAAGGAGATGTTGAACAGCAGCGGGGACAACCCTTGTCGTCGACCTTGAGCCAGTCCGAACACTCTCCGTCGTCCATACGCACCCAGGCTCGCATTCCGTCGTGGAATTTGCGGATGATGGCGATCATCTCCTTGGGAACCCCAGCCCTGGCCGGCACCTTCCGCCGCAGCTCTCGGTCCACCGAATCATACGTCTTCCTTAGATCGACGAAGCACATGTAGAGCATGTCGATGGTGGATCGCCCAGGTCGGAACCGGCACTGTTTCTCCGGGAGGATGTTGTTGGTGTCGTCGCAGAAGGCGCTTGGGCGGATGGTGATGATCTTGACGGGGACCTTGCCTACGTGAGATATCAGCGAGATCCTCCTGAAGTTGTTGCAGTTTGACCGGTCACCCTTCTTGTACAACTTGGGTCCTTTCACTCTTGGGGGATCTCTCCTCCATTCTATACCTCAACGAGGATGGGATGGAGGTGCTCCAGGACGGTGGGTTCGTCGTCGTCGTCGTCGATCTTGAGCAACTGGACAGGGAGGGAGTCATTGCCGGGTACCTTCCAGTTCTGCAGTCCTTTCGTTGCGAGATCCACCTCCTCGAGGTCCACTCCCAGCCGTCCAGTGGCACTTGGTCGATGATGTCTCGGTTCAAGGTGGGGGACTTGGTGTTGAGGAGGGTGCCGAAGAATCTCGCCCATCGCTGTAGGATGTCGATCTTGCTCCGGAGCAGCACGCCATTCCCGTTCGCCACGAACTGCTGTCGTTCCGCTTGTTTCCCACTGAGCCCCACCAATCTCGTGAGGTCCTTTCATGTCGCGATCCTTGTAGATCGCTCCGAGTTCCGTCACATATCTGCCCAGGTGGGCATAGCCAATATGCCCGTTTCGACTGCTGCAGCCACTCCCTTACACGTTGAGAGCCCTCCACGTTGCTCTGTTCCAGATGCCCGTCATCGCTCGGTGCGCTGGATAGCTCTCGTTGAAAAACTGTGAGTCCAATAAATGATTTTTTGTTTCATGCGTACATCATCATCGCAAAGAAACGTTTTTTGTTGCCGAACGCTCCTACGGTGTGGTACAACCAATTACTACATCATGACGGAATTTGCGAAAAGAATACAGCATTCCCCCAAATGATCCATACCCGGAGGTGACAACTGTGGCGGGTTAGCAGGGGGTTGATGTGTGGACATGAGGGTAGGCTGCCGTGCATGCAGCGGGAGGTCGTTGTACCACGGTAGGTTGGTGTTTGAAAAGTAGGCCAGGATGTGTGTGAATTATCCGAATTCCGTGGGAAGTTCCGGACGGGTAAGAAATATGTTTTGTCGGAAATTACCGATGTCCTATCGTCATAGACGAAATACGTGTGCAAGAGATGCAACACACGAGACATCTGTTCCAAACTCTTCGTCTCATTGCTGTTTGTATCGTGATTAATGGGCTTCAGTTTTGTCGGTTCGTCACGGTTTGTCGTCGCGGAAAACGCTCCTGAGTACATAGACTTGGATGTCGCGAGCTCTGCTATAAAATACATACGTTCCACGGAGAAAAAATGGCATGGGCGTGAATGCACCGACGACCATGCTGCCCTTGCGAAGGAAGGACGAGCGAAAGACTCGCTGCTGAGAGTGGCAGAAATTGCGAAGCGTCAGAAGTGGCTAGATTTGTCCAGGCTATCGTCATCATATTTGACCCGGCGCTCGCTGCAAAAGTGGGTGTTGTTTAGCGATGCCCGCAGCACGGAGGAGAAGTACAACACAACGAATCAGGTGCCTCAATTTTCGCGAGATCGTTTCCACTGAAAGTACAGCAGTTTGAGCTTCGGATGATTTGAAGAGCGGCGCGCGGTCGAGATAAGGTGTACCACGTTTTCGGTAAGGAATTCGTTCCGCCGCAGATGACGAGTATGATTGTCGGAGTGATATGACATAGGGTTCCGCCGCAGGGGGG